TCACCCCGGGCGTGGGTGCATGCGTGCCCAAGATCCCGAGAGGAGAATGGAGCAGAAGGGATTGTAATGTGACCATCTCCCCTGGGGGGGGGGGTGATTTCTCGCTTTCTATCTCTCTGTCTCTCTCTGTCTCTCTGGCAAGCTCATGCGCCCTATAGCAAAAACCTCTCAAAAATAAAATAAAATAAAATAAAAAGAAATTCTAGGTCAGTAAAATCTATCACCGTTAGTTAAAAATGTTGAGTACAGTGTCTTAGAAGGTGTAATAGTACCCCAAGGTGTGGACAAATATAGAAATGCATTCTAGAGTTTGCTGTCCTTATAAAAAGGGAAAATTTTATTTCCAGGACAATTCTGATCCTGATGGTAAACTTGGACAGCTCAGCAGGGAAATTCCAGGCAGAAAAATCACCCAAAATTCTGTATACTCCTCATGAAATGAGAACCGTTTGCACACATGTGAAAATCCATGTACTCAACCACATCCAGAGCAGAAACAGGGGACCTTGAGACCAGATAGAAGCAGTGATTTGCTCAGCACAGTTATGCAGCAGTGCCGTGTGAGGTGGCTGGAAAAAACACTTGAGAAAATGTTCACTGAAAATGAGAGAAATTTATGTTTTAAAGGATCTTAGTTCATTGACATGAAGAAATAGGACCACTGAGGAGACAGCAAAGGAGACTGGATCAACTGAGATAATAAATATACATAAAGAAAAGGATATTAAAAGGTGCTAGTTGGAAACTTGAATAAAGCTAGAATTTACCAGTTAAGAAAAAGCGTAAGGTAGATTTACCCAGAGTTGAGTATAATGATTAGAAGGAGTTAAGGCTTAGAGTAAGAGAAGATGATAGGGCCTGCCAGTGGCATGGTGATTAAGGTGGTTGGATCCCATGTGGCGTTTTCAGTCCCAGACGGGATGCTTGGAAAATACACTTTGAACATGTGTGTGCATGCCCTAAATCCCAAGAGGAGAAATGGAGGAAAAGGATTGTGATATGATTCTTCCTCATTGGTGGTTCTCTCTCTCTCTCTCTCTCTCTCTCTCTCTCCTCTCTCTTTGGTGTTTCTCTCTCTCTCTCTCTCTCTCTCTCTCTCTCTCTCTCTCTCTCTCTCGTGAGAACGCATGCCCTCTAGCAAATTTTTTAAAAAGATAAAGGATAGAAGATAATAAAACCCATGATCTTCTCTTCTAACCCCTCTGCACTGTCCAATACGGTGACTGTTAGCCACATGTGATGAATTACATTTAAATTAACTTAAATAAAGTGAAAATTTCAGTGCCGCATTCATAATAGCCACATTTCAAATGTGACTGCCATACTGGGCAGCATAGAAGGAGAACGTTTTCACAATGCACAGTTTTATTGGAGAGTGCTATTGTAAAGATATTCAGAAGAGTAAGAAAGATAAAGACAAGAAAGAATCAGAGGCGGGCTAGTTATACATAAACTCCCTTCTCCACAGAGCTTAACCTCATTAGCTCTCTTGTGGCTGTCAAGACACCCACAGCTGTTGGGGTTTGGCCACGCCTCCTTTCCAGAAAGCTGTTGGAGGATGTTGCCTTATGAATCCTCTAGTTGGTTGGGATTATTGAAGCAGGACATTGAGTTAGGGGTGGAGTCAGGGTTGGGTTTAGGGAAGGATAATTCAATGGATGAAGATGACCTGTGCACGCCCAAACATCATGACTAGAATCCAAGGTGGATAAAACATTCACTTGACACTGGAAAGCTACAAGAGTAGGTCCTTTCATCTTTTGTGCCCAAAATGAGTCTTCTGTCATTCATAGGCCTACAATCCAGTACTGATGTGTTGTTCAGACTAAGTCATAAGTCGACATTCACATTCCATTTTACTCAGCTGATGAGAAACTCAACTTGCCCATCTCCTTGTATTTATTCACATCAATCGATTCTTATAAAGTGTATTACTCACTACAAGTAAACATATGTAGCTGATCTCCTCCCCTCTGTGCTCTGTAATGAACAGCATGACATTTCAGACTGCTGTTGAGAAATGTTCTTTGCTACATACCTGTAGTGAAATGACAGCATTTTATTTTGACCCTCTTACTTCAGAGACATCCTTCCTTTGGAAGACATTTTTAGCATCTTTTAGGTCATACTTAATATAATATCTTAACAGAAAGCTCTCTCTTTCCAAACTGCCATTTCTACTCTAGAAGCACCTAGCATCATACTTTTTGCCACTCATAATATTTGTACTAGACATTGCCAGGTGATGAGAAGAAATCCCAAGAAAATGTTCAAACACTGCCCTGTGAGGGCCACTATTTGCACAAACCACTATTTGCACTATTTGCTGAATGTGGTTTCCTATTTGCATGTGTGGGCAGCCATTTCTTCAGTGTTATTCCCTATGTCCTAATTGGCTCTCTGCATAGACTCTTGGCTCTGTGCTTGAGTATTGTCATCGACTTTTAACCCACCTCACCTGCAGAGCAGCTTTCTGTTTCCATGAGTATCTCAGGCACCGAATCTCACCTTAAAAACTAGCAACAGGAACTTAACTGCTGGTTTTCATCATTTACTTTTAATGTAACTTACTGAGATTTTATGTTTTGTTTACTGCATTTGAGAACGGCAAAATGTTAAAGAAGAAAATACTTGGGGAGAGAAAATATTTGTTTAGAGAGAAAATGGACTAAAACTGGTCACTTAAAGGGAATCGTTACTTACACAGAGCACTTTATAATTGTAAGTATATAATTTTGCTCTTTGAGTTAATGCTTTAAAAAATTATCACCGTCAACATTATCATCTTTTCTGTCTCTTAACAACTTAGAAAGAAGTTGAATCATTTCTAACACTCACAAAAATGGAAAGTTTATAATTTTCTGCTGTGTCCTGAGGGTTTGGCAACACACATCAGACCAATAATCCTCTTTGACTAGTATGAGCACTCAAACTATACTTGCCTTTTTAATATGAGAAGAAGCTAAACAACCTATAAATAAAAGCATAGGGTGAAAAACCCCTATATGACCGTTCACAGCTCAGTCATTTTCAGTACCTGCCATTGAAACCCTTTAGCAAAGGAGTGAGTCTTCCTTAGTCCATAGAGAGTTGCTTTGCAGCTGGAAGAAGGGTGTGTCTCTGAGCTTTTACCTGGGAGCAATGATGATCTTGTCAAGCATTTCAGTGAGACCAGCCCAAGTTTTTAGGGTGGGGATCCAGACTGGTTATACGTACCTTCAGTCCTTCTCCCAGAGGAAGGCAGAAACACCTCAAAGCCTGCATGTAAGAACATCTACTGCGAAATTATTTTAATCAGACACCAGCTGAGTGGGGGAAAGGAAAAGAACAGAGAAGAACAAGCAAAACTCCCTTGGTCTTGGATGTAAGAGAACCCAGCAGGGATGGACTGGCACCCCTTCCGAACAGCTGTGGTGCTGTTAATTTTCCTGGTAAGTGGGTTCTGTTAAAAAGCCTTTATATCATTCTCACTGTAAACAGCGAGAGCCTTTTAGAAAAGGCTATTTAGTGGCAACCTGTATATCTAACCAAACTCATTAAAAATTTATGTTAATGACAAGGTGATTTTATGAAGTTGATTTTTAAATAGTGTTTCTCTCTTTAATTGAAGACTCAAGATCACATTAGGGCATCAGTATCCATTCATCATATCACATCTCTGACGGTAAAGTCATGCTAAGTCATGCTAGGAAAATATTGAATTCAGGACATTCATATCACTACTTACTAGCACTTTGTTGTTCAAATTCTCTTTTGCAGGTGAGCTTAAAAACTGAGTATCTCTGGTATTTCCTGATTTTTAACCTAATTTTTATTTTCATTTCCTTGATGTATTTACTGGCAGGTTCACTATAATTTTTCAAGCATAAAACTAGGATCTATATAAATTAAAGTCATAGCAGTTCATGACTGGCCTCACTATCCAAACAATTGCATCTGCTCCAAATGTGGTTAGAATCCATACCACTAGTACTGTAAGCTCCACACTGCTAAACTATGATTCTATTTAAAACATTTTTAATTTTTAAAAATGACAGTAGAGGAGATTTATAAATGACATAGTAGGTGAAGGAATGTCTATAATTAAGGAGTAAGTATAGTTATTACTCTACTTATTCTTTCTACGGGAAAGTCAGCAATGATGGACAGAAAGTTACACAGTCAATGGTCCGGTGAATGTAATGCCATTATCATCACGTCCCTCATGTGTTACTTGTTTTCTCTTTTTGAGATAATACTAAATGGAACATCAAAACATTACATCAATTTCACTCTTGGAGAAGATTTTAAAAGTTCAGTTTCTCTCCCAGGATGATAAGTGTAATCCAAAAGATAGGTGCCAGGGAAATCGCCCTCCAGCTTGGCAGGATGCAGTGCTGTGGTTTCTATCTGTTTTTACTTGCTTAATTTTTGAACTGGAATGTTGGGTTTTCATAATAACAAGTTAGATCTTTGATTCAAGGTATACTGGTGAGTTGGAACTTAGCTTACTAACTAAGAGCATTCATAAACAGTAGATTTAGTTACAAATGAACATTAATAAACTGGTAGACTTAGTTCCAAGCTGTTCTTTAAACATCAGTTCTGTTTTATAGCCTTTTGGATCAGTGGATATTATAACGTGTGGTATGGCAGGGTTCAATGTGCATTATACAACATTATAAAACATACAAGTATTCACATATGACCAAATGATCACTTTTATCTTTGGTTTCATGTAAATTCAATCCATTAAGATCAATTAATTAAATTTTGTTCAGATTTTTAAGTGCTGATTTCATTGAATATATAAGATCTATCTCACTGATTTTGTGATTATTTCTAACTAATTACATCCCCTTAAATGGTATTTGCTAATTTTTCATGATTCAGTAAAATATTATCATTTTATTAAAGCAAGTATCCTCACGAAACTTTCTCTCTTTAGACACAGTTTCTAGGCATTTTTATTTTTCTGAGTCCACATGTTTTGTTTGTTTGTTTTGGGGTTTAATTTGGGGGCAGAAAGAAGGGTTGGTCATATTTTACTCTGGAATCAATCACAAGTATTTTATATGCCTTGTGAAAATTATTTTTCAAGGATATTTTTTGAGGGGGAGAAGTTTTTGCTATAGGCTGTGTGAGTTCGCCAGAAAGAGAGAGACAGAGAGACAGAAAGCGAGAAACCCCCCCTTAGGGGGGATGTCCATGCCACAATCCCTTCTCCTCCATTCTCCTCTCGGGATCTTGGACACGCATGCACACGTGCCCAGTATGAGTTTAAGCCACCGGGGCCAGAACTCAAACCGCAGTCGACTACATGGGAATTCAGCAACATAGTCATTACGCTAACTGCTGGTCCCTCTCAAGGAATTTAAGCTATCATGAAATAAATTATTTCATTTTCACTTTGACATCAACTTTTTTTAGTAAAATATTTCACTTTATAATGTTGTGTAGGTCATAATTTATTTTTATAATTGATTTTGCCAGATGATTTTTAAATTATTCCTTGAAGTTATCTGGGTTTTGCTTAAAATTTTTTTCTCCAAAGACAACCACCATCATAGCAAACTCTCCCAATATCCTGTGTGAATGTTGCTACCTCCTGGTGAATGTTTGCCTTTACCAAAAAAAAAAGAAAGAAAGAAAGAAAGAAAAAAATCTAAAGTTTATATTAATTTCAGATCCAAGTTGATAAATGAAAATCCATGTTAGAAAACATATTTGAACACTTTTGAAGACCTTTAGGACATTTAAACTAGAAGTAGCTTTAATTTAGACCCATTTGAAAGCTAGAAAACTATGTATTTACCGGAATATTGTGTAGTCTGCTCAATATGCTTGAGAGTTTTAGTCCTTCAAATTAATGCGTTGGAACAGGGAGAAAAAAATGGAAGAGCATCTCTTATGCTGATCAAGATTGCTACATGAATATTTCATTATTCAGACAAGTCTCTGGACGATGGCTTACACCTGCTAAAATATGGCAAACCAGATACATTTTGTCGATTCTGCATTTACTTTTCTTTTTCTCCGCTACCATAGACTCAGTGTTAAAAAGTATTTTTTCTATGCTGGAGGATAATGTTAACCTATGCACCAAATGTAAGAAATCTGTGTGGATGGTTGTGATGATGATCAAAAGTTTGTCACAATCATGCTGGAAAGCGAAATAGAAGTTGTAGCATTTCTGTAGTTCTAATGATACCTGACCAATTACTTGCAACTTTGCCAGGTTCGATTAGTTCATTCAATCAATACAAATCTCGAGGTGTCTTTTTCAACAAAGGCAAACTTTACAGCTTAAATTCAAAGAACAAAGAAACTTATTTTTATTATCACACATGATCTGATGTTATCAGTTCATCATACTAACTTCCCTTCTCCTCTTTCTATGGGTTAATGTTTCACTAAAAAAAAAAAAAAAAAAACTTTTAATCACTCAATAAACTAACTCCAACAGTTTGGACTCATCTGAAATTCTTTAAGATACGAACATGAGTTTTTCAAGGTTTTTCTCAGCACTCAGGCTCAAAAATCCCAAGAGGAAAATGGAGATGTGATTGCAGTACGGTCATTCTCCTTGGAGGGTAATTTCTCACTTTCTCTCTCCCTTGCTCACTCTCTCACTTTCTCTCTGGTGAGCACATGTGTCCTATAGCAAAACTAAAATATAATAATAATAAATTACAAATTTTATTACATAGTTTATCTACTAATTTGATCTAGACATCTTAAGTTCCCACCGTTGCGTTCACAGATGCCTAATGCAAGTAAAGGACTGAAAAAACAGTACAGACCAAACAGAAGATAAACAGAAGGGAGACTTCATGCTTATTTATGTGTGTATTATATTCCATAAGATATTTTCTAGAAAATGAGAGCAATCTTTTGGTTCACTTATTCAGAGAAATTAATGAACTGCATTTAAGCATAATCATTTCCACTGAGATAGTGTTCATAATAACTTTTTATCTTACTGCAGACTTAGGCTAAGCATCTTCTTTCAGCTTTATAAAAATGGGGAGTATAAATTTATCATCACTGAATTGATTTGCATTGCCCTCTTTTAGGTAATAAGAAACCTAAAGCACTGGGGAAATACTGTCTTGATAAATCTGAAGACCTGGACCTTAGAAACGAGATTCACCTATCTATCAAGACTTCTGAATCTAGAAAAATGGCACTCTTGTCAATACCCAGAGCACTTAATTTCTAATAACTTTTTCTTCACTACACTTAATTCAAGGATATTGTTGCTGAATATCCCTGTGTCCTAAGAGGCATTGCTTAATGTATAAGCACGAGGCCTGCTCTGCCTGGCATTGCAGTTAGACTATTACTCTCCTTTCGATTGCAGGAACACCCTTTCAGAGTGCTGGGTCATGCTGCCCTTGCTAGTTATGCTTGGCATGCAAATTCCTTTAATAGGCTTAAGCAGGTCAAATTTTTTTAAATACCATTGGCTGCTGATCCATGCTCTTAATTGGTCTATGAGAATAGAACACAGTCTTTTCCATTTATCTAATAGCAAACCATATCTCCATAAATTAATGACTGCTTGTTGCTCATAAAACTATTTGACTGTACATTATTTGAAGGCAAATTCTGTGTCCAATTTGCCTTTATATCTCTCATAGTGCTTTACACCAGTACAAGATTTCTCAGCAGATATCTAGCCACACAAAGCAGGGATAGCAGAAAAGAATTTTTTGATGGTTTATGTTTTCCTTCTTTTCACACTTTCCAGAAAAATCATCAAGGTATGAAGCATGGAAAGACTCACGTTAAATTTTCCCTAACATTTTTATGATGTAGCATTGCGTTTACTTGGTGTATCAACTAAGGCTTATCATAATATTTTTAGGATTTGAGCCCATTAAAAATCATAATCCAGCCTTGAAACCACTTATACATTCAATATATTCTTCGAAAGTAAACAAGCCAATGAATGAATAAGAGAAATTAACCCATTGAGGGGTTATTAGCTCCAAACTAATACTCTGTTAGAGGAGTACAAAGGAAAGACAAAAGAGAAAGTTTATAAGTAGATTATTATATCTTTGTTTCAGTTCACACCTTTGTGATATACCTAATAGTTTACAAATATATTAAAATTTGGTAATTAACAAAAACTACCAAGTAACTGTAGAAGAACACCTTACAATTATTAAATGTAAGAGATTTTTTAATAAATATTACTTATTACTCTCAAGTCTATTTTTATCATACATGAAATAGTCCAAACTTTAATATCCCTAAACAAAAACCACTAAAACTGAATATATCAGGGAATAACTAAAATTAGCATGCCATTTTGTGTCCTGTAGCTTTTCAAAAAATAAATGGATAGGACCCTAAAACAGTAATGAAGGGGAGGACAGGAGAACCATTCCACTGAATTTCAGGATTTAAAGGGCATTCATCCCAAATACAAATGAGAAAACTGAAGCACAAATTGACTAAGTGAATTATCCCAATGCCAATATCCAGTGAGCAAGATAGCTAAGTTATACTTGATCCGTTTGACTCTATGAATCTTCATCACAGCCTCCATGGCATGTATTCGAACTTATTCTGAATCCAGACAACTCCCTTAATTGCCAGGAAATGACCACACCCTTACTCAAGGGATCTAGAGGATCTAAGTCATTCAGGACCATGTCCTCAAATTTCCCTTTCCTAATTCACTGTTTATCATCTCCATCCTTCCTTTCTTCCTTACCTCTGTCTTCAAAGTCCTTTCATCTTCTGCCTGATCCCTCCTGTTCTTTCCATTATAACGCCTCTGTTAAGTGTCTTCTATCTGAACCTCTCTTCTTTCACATCAATTAATTTCTCTCCTCTTTCTCAGTTTGCAAAATAACACCGTTCTCCCCCTCCAAAAAAAGAAAAAACTTCCTTGAACTCTATATCTAATTTTACCATCTCATTTTTCTATTTCATCACTAATTCTCCTGAAAGAGTGCCATCTTTGTACTTTTCCCTTCTACTTTATTCTCCAATTCTTTTCAGTCAGGCAAGTGCCCATTTTACCTCACTGAAGATACTCTCTTGCAGATCACTGACAATCTCATGACTCCCCAAGACCCTGCTTTTTCAGATCATCTGACATTTGTTCACACGTCACATGTCTTTCAATTCCCCCTTCCTTTGATTCTTCATTGTATTATACAAGAGTACGTAAAACAATTGATGGAAAAATGAGATGAAAGTATCTGTTTATTTTGGTGCAAAAAAATTTGAAATCCATGTATTTTTTGTTCATAATATGCATTTCCCATGACTTTTTGAAGACCCCTCATCATTTCCTCCTGTCTCTTTGGCCAGTCTTTCTCCACTTCTTTGTTTCTTATTTGATGTCCTCATTTTCAGTTATATAAGTGTAAGCATTCCCCTATTTATTCCTCAGCAACAGCCTGTATACTCTACTTTAGGAGTGTCACATTCTCCCATGACTTCTACTGTTCTGCCTGAGCAGATATATCTCAAATCTGCATAGCCAGCCTGAACTTTCATTCAATGTGCCGATACATATTTCAAATCACTAAGCCTCTTTACCTGGGCATTTCTCTGGCATCTCAAGTGAAATCTGTTCTAACCTGCAGAATTCTGCTACTGCCTTGTTCTGAGCTCTACAGTTTAAAGCTGCCATCACTTAAAATTTCCCCCTTTCACTTGAGACTTCCCCATTCTACCTGCTTATAAACCCTGTCAGTTCCATCTGGGCACTGTCTCTCCTTGAGCTTACCCTATCCATTCCCACTGCTCCTGGTGGGGGGGAGGTGAAAAAGGGGGGCTCCTCCCACCCCTACATTCCATTGACACAAGACTCTCAGCCTCCCCTGACCTGTAATCACTGCCTCTTCCCACCTTCCCAACTAACTGTTGTCAGGGTAATTTTTTAAACCCACAATTTTATCATGCCCTTCCCATGATTGAAATACTTCAATGTGTTCCTACTGCACACAGGGCTTTGTTGTTAGAACTGGGAAGTTACCTTTGCATAGTATAGTTTACCCTTGTCATTTTACAAATGAGAAAACTAAAGCTCAAAGAATTTAGAAAATACACTGAAGGTGTTCTGACTTACCAAATGCTCTTTTTATTTTATTATTTTGCCTTTAGAAGTTTAAGAATGACTTTGTATCAGAATTTATCCAAGACTCTGAGCAAAAGAAAATAAGCTTAGGTCAACCCACCAAGTTTAAGCAGCGTTGGCAGTTTTTTAATTACCAATGTAACTGGAGTCTGGCACTATGGAGAAACCTATTTGGTCTTTTGCCTAAATTGTCTCTTGTGGGAAAAAGGATGACCCAGCTTCATAAAACTGGAAAGGTTTCTTAGTCATCTGGCATAGCTACCCAAAACAAACACCAGCACTAACATTTCACAGCAGTTAGAGAAGTGCAACAACAGATAACAGACGCATACACAGTTTTGTGGCTATGAAGAAATGACTTCCAAATAAAGAAGGCACCCCTATATCCCCATCCAACACCTACAAGCAAAAGACAAGGGAAAGTACTCATAAGTTCACAGGTAGCAAGACGTATGCATTTCACATTAACATCATCTCAGTTCTAGACGTGAGGTAGACACTGCAGGTAGCATTTTAGGTACATGTCCTAGTCATTTGGGCCATTTTTCTCTGTGTTACTACTGTCATATATAAGGATTACTAATTACAAAGACGATGTGAAAATAAATTAAAATCAGAATTTTTGCGTTCCCAAAGTTGTAGTATCATTTTTTTGTATGATAGAGAGCATGTGCACTAGAAAAGTGAGAGAGAAACTCACTTCACAGAGTTTGAGATTCCTCTTCCCCATCCTACTAGCTTGTCAGATCTTAAGCACCCTTGTACACACACTTGGAGTGTTTTATGGATGACCCAGCAATCTGAATCTGAGGTTGACTCTGCGGCTTGCAGTAGTGCAGCTCTTTTCACTATGGACTGGGCCATGGAGGCTGAGCCAATGTTTGTTATTATGTCTTAGTATTGTATTTAAAGGAATAAGCTAGCTTATACATTACTGTAAAACCCACAAGCACAAATTTCAGTTAAATTGTATGAAATTCTACTTAGCTCGAAGTTAATATTCAAGTCTCAATGTCCTTATCTGTAAAATGAGGATACTGCTAATGGCCATGTGCATGTTTTACAAAGACAAAAATGTATGGATTTCTCTAGACATAGTGCCTAATACTTATTTATCATTCAGTGACTTGTAACAGTGATAATAATAATAAATAAATATATTTCATGAGTATGTAATTCCCATAATTCATTATTCCTATAGTACTCATATTGATCATAGATAGATATTTTCTTCAATTATTAAATATGGGGCAAATTTAAAAAGAGACTAAAATTTAACATTTTTTAATAGCAAAATTTAAATCAACTACAACAAGCAATTTTCAGGGTCAGGAGCTGGCATGAAGTTTGAGGCCACTGGATCATACATGAGATTAAGGCCCAGAGCCAGTGGCTTGAAATATGCTGGGCATGCATGTGTGCTTGTCCAAAATCCCACCAGGAGGACGGAGCAGGGATCTTAGCATGGCCATCCTTCCAGGGGTGATTCTCACTTTCTCTCCCTCTTTCTCTATCCCCAGCAAGTGCATGTGCCCAATAGCAAACAAAAAAGTAATTTTCTACATTCTACAATGACTATGATTGGTAGCTTTACATATGTATGTGTGTATGCTAGAGGGCACGTGTGCTCTCCAGATAGAGACAGAGAGATGAAAAGAGAGAGTGAGATTAAAGTTCCTCCCATACAGAATATTCACACCACAATGCTTTCTTTGCCATGTCTTACTCATTTTAGGATTTTGAGTATGCACACACACACACACACACACACACACACACACACACACACATACCTCCAGTGTGCTTCTTAAGTCTTCAAGTCTGTCACTTGAACCACATGGTCGGCCATGTGGGATTCAGCTACCTTATCCACCAGGCCACAGAGTTAGCTCATTAGTAATTTTTAAATACAAACGGTAATTTTCCTATATTCATGATACAAATAAAGTCCAATTATGATAACTGTTTTCATGCTTTCTAATTCAACACTGATTTTTAAAATATTTTACAATGTCTTAAACAAGTATATATATACATTAAACTCAAAGCAAGTGAAAAAGTATCTTAAAATTTTCAAGAATATTGGAAGGAAAACTTTTCATCAAGAATTGGATTGTGAAGGAGAAAATGTTCTGAAGCTTTCTGGATAATTTTCTGCTTCATATCCTTTCTTCACTCCAAGTTCTTTTCAGTTTCTATCTGTGACTAGTTAGATCCTAAAACTGTAGTCAGAGGTTTTAGTATTGTAACATATTGCTGAACATCACTCAACAGCACCGGAGTATCCCTAGTTCTTCAAACACAAGTCTTACTTCAGAGAACCTGCTTCAAGCCTGGTCGAAAGGCTTGAATCCCCCTGGGTTCTAGCTTCAAATATCCTACCATGTGACTACCTGTTTTGGAATAAGCCAAGAACAAAAATGAGATTTCAAAATTGAAAGGTAAAAAGGAAAAAATTTCTTAGTATGATCATCAAATCTGAGAAATAAATCTGATCCACCCGGCATAATAGTTCTAACAACTCACAGACTAGAGTTTCTGTTTTGGGGAAATGATTAAATAACATGATTTTCAAAGTAGTCCATTGAAACTAATGGTTACATTCTTACTTTTTTTGTAGGTGGTGGTGGAAATTAACAGTGAATTTCGAATTCAGGTAATGTATCGCAAATTTGCTTTTCCAAATTAAAAAAAAAGATGTTTTTTGTGGAAGTTAAAAACATTTTCTAAAGAAAAATCCATTTTATAAGTTAAATTAATGTAATGCTAGATTTAATAAATTATCAGGATTACCAATTTTACCAATTAAACATCTTCCCTTTTGACATTTATAAATAACACTCCTTCAAGAGGCAGGATGTTTTGGGAAACAGATATGGCTTATTACCTGTTGATGATGACAGGTATAGTATTCTCAACTGGATTGGTCTGAGAAGTATTTCATGATGGGTAAAGTCTTTTTACAAGCAAAATGAGAAATAGTGATTGACTGTTTAAAAAAATAATTGGAATAATAATAATAATGATCGGGAAAAACAATGAAAAGATATTGAATGATGAAGTGGGGAGATTAATGTCTCTGTACTGACTGACATGCATGGCATTTCCTTTTGAAAAAGCAATGTAATACACTGTAAAGTTATATGCAATCCAATGTAATATTAACAAGATTATGATGATAATAAATAAATAAAGCTCCAGTGGAATTTAAATTATGAATAAAAGTTAATGGATGCTATTGCTTTATCCTGCCTATTCAAGGAAAGAGATTACAGTGCTAAAAATGGCACCATCAAGTGGCGTACAATCAGAAGGCAAAAACGGGAATGGATCAAGTTTGCTGCAGCCTGTCGTGAAGGCGAAGACAACTCAAAAAGAAATCCAATAGCCAAAGTAAGTATCGACCCCAAAACATAAAATTGAAAATCTGAAAGAGAGGGATTAAAGTTACAAAAGAACCTGGTTTTTAAATATTCTATGAACATGTCTCACTCAGAAGCTATAACATAGTTGAGATCCATTGTCATTCTGATGATAAAAACTTCATCTCCAATAAAGGATAAATCAAGACATTTAAGCACTCAGGTACAGTTAAACACTGACTCACCTCATTGGTGAAATTAATATACAGAACCATGTCTATCCAAAACTCTAGGTGAAAAAAATATAGAGAGATTTAAACAGTGAAGTAGCATTCAAGACATTCAAAGGAGCCACTTCAAAATATGCTCTTTTTGCCTCACAATCTATTAGAATTGAATTCCTACTTTTCTGTTTATTTATCAACATTTGTACATATGTGATGTGCCCACTGCCAGACTCTCCTTTTAATTTCATTTTCCTTTACCTTTCTCTCTACACCTGTACACACTCAAAATATACACACAGATTCACATAGATCTGAATATGCATATACTGACGTACACAGACACACATGTTCACACAGATGTTCACGGATTTGCCCCAGTAGATGTGTTAACATTCATACACTACTTTACACTACTTTATATCAAAAAGGGCTCGGGATCAGCAGTTAGCATAATGGCTATGTCGCTGGACTCCCATGTAGTTGACCGAGGTTCAAGTCCCGGACCTGGTGGCTTAAATTCACGCTGGGCACGTGTGCGTGCATGCCCAAAATCCCAAGAGGAGAATGGAGGAGAAGGGACTGTGGCATGGCCATCCCCCCAGGGGGTTGATTTCTCGCTTTCTGTCTCTCTGTCTCTCTCTGTCTTCTGGTGAGTGCACGTGCCCTATAGCAAAAACCTCTAAAAAAAAAAAAAGCTCCTGGTTTCTACAGCCATTAATTTGGAGAAGTCTCCTTATGCTACTATATCTCCCCCATTTTCAGAATGAAGAGTTTTTTGTGTTTTTTTTTTGGGGGGGGGGAGATTTTCACTGTAGGGCACGTGCGCTCGCCAGACAGACAGAGAGAGACATAGAGACAGAAAGCGAGAAATCACCCCCCAGGGGGGATGGTCACGCCTCAATCCCTTCTCCTCCATTCTCCTCTCGGGATCTTGGGCACGCACGCACACGCGCCCGGCGTGAGTTTTAAGCCACCGGGTCTAGGACACGAACCGCGGTCGACTACGTGGGAGTCCAGCGACATAGCCATTACGCTAACTGCTGGTTCCCTGGAATGAAGAGCTTTGATGCATAGCCAGATAACTCTTGTCACTTGAAACTTCCTTCTAAAACTTTGCTTTTTACAAAATTTTGGAATCTGAAGATCAAAATTTACAATGACAGCATTGCTACACTCCCAAAGAGGGTACGGAGTTTGCTTATCCAGCCCCAGGACTAGCACAGAATCTGATAATAATATGAGATCAAATTATATACGTTGGAGACTGGACACTGATACAGCAGTAAAACACGACTGCTCTGAGAGGCTGACCCTCATGGGAAGGTCCCAGGTTCACGTCCAGAGTCTGAGTACACTGGGCAGATGTGTGTTCGTAACGTGCGGCCTGCAGACGCTGGCAGGGGGTGAGGGTATGTTGCAGCATCAAGACCTTATTGGGAGTGCTGTCTTCCTATTTCGCTTTAGCTCTCACTCATGGGAGAAATAAATAAATAAACTTTTCTTAAAATCCTTTCAGTGTTGAATGGACAAGTGATGACTACATAGGTTTATTGTGGTGATATTTTACTTTTATCTTATCTGCTAGAAATACAATTAAATTTCTTTTATTACTTCATCAGTTACCATAAATATACTAGGGCTATAATTATTACACTTTCCTAAGAAAATAAATCTCTATTTTCAGTGCTTCCCAAAATATAATAGGATCATTGCTTTCAACAATATCCAGGAAAGATAGCTGTCAGATGGCAAAGAGAACTCCATTTGCTCCCTGTAATATTTTCATTTGTGTTCTTTCTACAGATCCACTCAGACTGTGCTGCAAACCAGCAAGTTACATATCGTATCTCTGGAATGGGAATTGATCAACCACCTTATGGAATCTTCATTATTAATCCAAAAACTGGTGAAATTAATATAACATCTATAGTTGATCGAGAGGTCACCCCCTCTTTTCTTGTAAGTTGGCTCCATGTCAATATATATGTTTAGGTTTAAATTATTCTTTAAAAAAATTTTAGGAACACCAGATATTCAGATATGTTATTGAATTTTGTTTAGTTTACGGATAAAATTGTATGCATTTATCATGTACGATATGATGTATTGAAGTATATATACATTGTGAAATGGTTAAGTCTAGATAATTAACAGATGCTTGGGGGATATTTTTTTGGTGAGAACACTTAACAATCACTTTCTTTGCATTTTTCAAGATTATAATGGTGTCTATCTTTATTAACTCTAGTCACCATTCTGTTCAACAGGTATCTTGAGATAATTTCTCCTAAATGGAATTATGTATTTTTTGACTAGCATCTCCCCATCGTTTCCTCCCCTCAGTGATCTCAGTCATTGCTAACCACCATATTTTGTTTCTTTTTTAAGAGATTTTTTTTTTGCTAAAGGCAGTGTGTACTCACCAGACAGAGAGAGACAGAAAGTGAGAACTCACCCCACAGGTGGAATGGCCACATCTCAATCCCTTCCCCTCCATTCTCCTCTTGGGATGTTGGGCATACACATACATGCACCCAGCACGAGTTTTAAGCTGCTGGATCCACAATTCAAACTGTGGTTGACTATGTGAGGGTCCAGCAGCATAACTATTACACCATCAGCTGGTCCTGGTAACCACCGTTCTTAAACTCAGATCATACTTAGTTTGATTTCAGTAGTCTTGATATTGGGCATTTTGGGTCATTTCTTAATTCATAAGCACCCATGTCCCAAAAGAAACAAAGAGAAGATTAAGAGGAAAAGGAGTGTCTGATTTAGGTTTCAGCAAGCATTCTAACTTCTTGTTGGTCACTCTTGGCAAATTAGAATATGTGTTTGGAAGAACATGTAATTTTAACTCTTTTTTCTTTAATGCAGTTAAAAATGTTGGTTTCCTTTAACTCCAATGTTGAGTAATGATTCTGGAGGTACTGAGTCTTTTCTGGGTGAAAATACTTTATTATAAATTCACATTGCTGAAGCACACCTGAACTCTGAATGTGCCTTGGAAATTCATTGATCCTTAACTGAATCTCATTCTATACTTACAGGAGCTGTCATATAATTTAAATATTCTCTCTCTTCAAACCCTCACCCTCATTCCCACTCTAAATCGCTGACCACATGACCAACTTCACTAAAAAGGTTGAAGCCATTCATCACAAACTTCCACAGTTCATACTCTCTCTTCCAGTTTAGAAATGTTCTTCATTAGATCCACAAGTAGGACCAATTTTCTACTTTTTCCGACAGCTTAACCCAAGATATTTCCAATGTCCTTTAATTACCTGCTTCTTAAAGAACCTCATTCTATCAACCTTGTTTGTGCCATTGGCTACTTCCACTTCCATCATTATGGTCAACATTTCTTAATACTTAAAATTTAAAATATGTAAAGAAATAAGGAAACCCTATTTTGATCTTCTAACCTCCTCTATTCAACTTCTATCAATCCATATCCAAAAACACTTCAAATGGTAATCTACATTTGCTGGTATCACCTATACTGCTTATCTGTATTCCCAGGACTAATTTAGTTCCTTAACCTTTATATCCTTAACCTTCAATTCTAAATATAAATTAATTGTAAATCAGTTCTAAATCTTGTCTCCCATATTGTTTCTCCACAAACTCCCTAAGTCAGCAGGCCAGCCCCTTTGATTTTCTCGAAGAATATGGATTTTCATAAGAACTATACCACATATATAAAATAATACACATTACACTTAACACACACCTCAAATATAAGTAATAATAATTAACTGTCCAGAGTTACTGGCTCTTTTTTACACTGGAATGCCTTTTCTTCTTCCACCTCCCTCAGCTCTCTTCCTGGATGGGATTCAATGAAGGATCTGGCAGAGTCCTGGTCTATACCTCCATCAGAAGCTGCTCAGGCTCCCTGCCTCAGTAGTTAAAATAAACAGCTATGTAGCCACCACCTCACTTAAAAATGCTTCATTTCTTTGAAGACACTATATGACTGTCTTTTACCACATCCTTACTGTTCTTCTCCCTCCATCCCTATTTCTAATTTCAAACATTACTTTCATCACTCCTTTTCTTTTCTCATATGAATCTCTTCACTGAGAACACCCTACCACTGCCCAATTCCACTTGATAATGCTCTTTCAAGATCTAGCTCAATCATTACATCCTCTTATGAAATCATGCATTTTTGTTCTTCCTATATATAATTTATCATGATACTTTGGATTAAATGGTATTTAGTGTTTGATTGCCTTCCTTCATTGATTAGAAATACCATTTGTACCTACATTCTAGTATGAAATACTAATATCTTACTTTTCTTTTAATTTCCCACAGTGCTTAGCATAGTAAAAAGAAAAAGAGCTTATTAAATATATTTTTTGCTGTGTAATTATTCCCTTTTCTTCTTCTAGATTGTTTGCAGGGCTCTGAATTCAATGGGACAAGATTTAGAGAGGCCTCTTGAACTCAGAGTCAGGGTTTTGGATATAAATGACAATCCCCCAGTATTTTTGATGTCTACATTTATAGGACAAATAGAAGAAAATTCTAATGCAAGTAAGTAATCTCCTTTATTAAATAAACACAAATATATTGACTTCCAGATAATTTTTAACAGCCAGACACCTAATTAGATGCTAAGCTATGTCAAAGTGCACATCAAGAATGTAAGAAATAAGCAGCAAAAACAAAAATGCAGGAAGAAAGGCTTTTCCTTCAACAAAGGAAGTGGCTCCAAACAATGAGGAAGACTTTTCTCATGTATCTCACATACTAGCTCTGTAGATATTCCTACGCTGAGAAATTTCAAAAGTATTTTGCATGGTTGTGTTAGGGGTATTGGGATGGGATTTGGCCTCCAGACCTGACTGTACTAATGGCCAAGAACTTTTGTTCATGACAAATAAATGGGAAATAAACATTATCTTTCCCTTCTTAAATCTGATTTAATAAATATCAGTTTTGTTTGCTTTTAACTGGAGTTGCCGATTTTAGGGATTTGCAATGCATTATAAATTAAATCCTATTTGGCCTACAGTGCACACTTGGGAGGAGAGTTATTAACACCTTAGCACACTTTTGAAGATGGTCCTGAGTACAACCAAAACAACAGGAACAATGGCTCATTTGAAGTAAAAACTTCAAATTACCATTGTCACTTTTCATCTTTAAGTGGTATAACATCTTATCAATTTCAAAAATCCTTACATTTCACTTTTATTCATTAAAATACTGTGCTTATACTTTGAAATTTAGGACATATTATTATAAAATGTTCATGGTAAAAAATTCATGCACTACAGAAACTACAGAGAGACTGTAAATTGGTTCTTTGCTTTCTCTAGTACCATTCTTCAGGTGCAAGGAGTACCATTGGTTACTTAGGTACATGTGTTCTATGATTACTTAAACATAAATGAGTACAGTTTTGCAATTACAGTCAATCATCTCTGCATATTCATTCACAACGTAAACTTTTGTTTGAAAGTATATTTATATCACATGTAGGTATCTTTACTCATTTTAATAGTGGCATCGGTTTCATTACATAAATGTATCATAATCAGTTCATTGTCTAATGAAATTTATTTTAATTTATACTAAAAGGATTACAGATAGAGAGGGCAGGTGACAGAGACAAAGAAAGAGAGAAAGAGAGAGAGTGAGAAGGAATGCCTCCGTGCATTTGTAGGAAAATTACACTTGAAATAAAGTTGGAGAGTAGAAAAGAATTCTAGTTGATGGGTAAACACTGGCAGCTTTTCTCATTCTCCATTATCATTCATTCAAATTATTTGTAAGGTTGAGGCCAGCAGTAGCATATTGGTTAAGGCACTGGCCTTCCACATGATCAACCATTGTTTGAGTCCCAGACCCAGCAACTTGGAAATCGTGCCAGGCACATATGTCTGCATGCCCAAAATCCCAGGAGGAGAAGGGATTAAGGGATTATGGCATGATCATCCCCCCAGGGGTTGGTTTCTCACTTTCCCTCTTTCGTCTCTCTCTGGTCTGCATGTGTACCCTATGACAAAAACTTTTTTTTAAATTACTTGTAAGATTAATGGCAAAAATAAGAGACAAGACAATGTACGTAGTAAAACAAATTATTTTTTCAGTTTACTGGTTACCAAGCACTCAACTAAAGACCACCTCAAACAGAACAATAATAATAAATAGTTATTGAATGTGCATTTTCAGCATAAAAGTATAAACTTTACATAGTTTTGTCTCATTGGCTATTAAATTCTCATGTAAATTTAATGAGGATAGTACTATTATCATGATAATACATGTCATGTCGAAACTGAAGTCAAGTACATAAAAGGTGTTAAAGATTCAAAAAATTTGTCTGGTCTTGATATTTTGTTTTACCATAGTGTCCTAAGAAAAACAAAGAAAGAAAATCAGCAAAAGAAAAAGGAGTTATACTAGCATATGAAATAGAAAGCCAGGAAAAACACATTTGCTTTGTTTCTCGGCCATAGATAATGCCTAGATTGTAAATGGGATCTTTTTATCAAGGCAAAGGTATAAAGAGGAGCTCAGATATTGATATGCCGAAGGACTAGAAAGAGAAGATGGCCAAGTGTACACTAAATGTCCCTGCTGACTGTGATGGCTTGTTAGAAACATAATACTGTGCTAGATTGTAATAAAAGTGTAAACTGATGGTGATTGTTTGCAATCAATTTTCCTTGATTTCTAGATACGTTGGTGATGAAGCTCAATGCTACCGATGCAGATGAACCAAATAACTTGAACTCAAAAATCGCCTTCAAGATCATAAGACAGGAACCTTCCGATTCACCAATGTTTATTATCAACAGAAATACTGGGGAAATTCGAACAATGAACAATTTTCTAGACAGAGAGGTAATTATTCTCGATACGTTTTTGGTGTCAAATGAACTGATTCTAAAAGCAAGGGTACCTTTAAAAAGGAGAAAAAGTGGGCTACCACCATAACCTGGTAGTTAAGGGAGCCAGGACTCACATAACCTACCACTGTTCAAATTGCAGTCCCTGAAGTTTGAAAAACACGCCAGACACCTGTATCTGGATACCCAAAATTGTGCCAGGAGAAAAAAATGAAACAAAAAGGATTGAATTATGACCATGCCTCATTAGAGGGTTCTCTCTCTCTCTCTCTCTCTCTCTCTCTCTGTTTCTGTGAGTGTACATGCTCACTGAAAGGGTTTTTTTAATCACAAGAGAAAGAAAAGGAAAATGATGTTTTAAAACTTTATTAGATAACCTTTTCACATGATGGTGATGACATAAGATGGTGATGACATCTTCAAGATGAAAAAAATGGGCCTTCCTTGATACATTTTATGCTGACGTTTTCATCGTCAATCAATTAAGATTTGCCTCTATTCAAGAAAACTATATTGTGATAGTACATTGAAATATGTATAAGATAGAGGCAAAAGCTCCATTTTAAAAAATTGTATGACCATGCCTCATTAGAGGGTTCTCTCTCTCTCTCTCTCTCTCTCTCTCTCTCTCTCTCTGTTTCTGTGAGTGTACATGCTCACTGAAAGGGTTTTTTTAATCACAAGAGAAAGAAAAGGAAAATGATGTTTTAAAACTTTATTAGATAACCTTTTCACATGATGGTGATGACATAAGATGGTGATGACATCTTCAAGATGAAAAAAATGGGCCTTCCTTGATACATTTTATGCTGACGTTTTCATCGTCAATCAATTAAGATTTGCCTCTATTCAAGAAAACTATATTGTGATAGTACATTGAAATATGTATAAGATAGAGGCAAAAGCTCCATTTTAAAAAATTGTATGTTCTATAATGAAAGAAATTTATGAAACACTGCTATTTTGTCCCCAGCTTGGTGAGTCTTTTTTTTTTCCTATGTAATATCTACTAACAGTCCATCTACTTGTTTTCTTTGGGAAATGAATCACAAGATTACAAATTAAATAATATCCATACCATCTTTTCATTTACAAATAAAAAAATAACTAGTGATTTCTAACAGATTAGAATCATGTTATGTGGTTTCTTTCACCCCATGTGGTCCCATGATTTAATTTTAAAATAACTACTTTTTAATGATTTTTTAAAATATTGTCTTTAAATAGAATATTGCTAACCTGTATGTATGTTAAGGAGATAAATGAGCAATATACTTAATTTACTTTGTAAATGATATCCAATTAAATTATGTTTTCATTATTATAAAATTATAATCTCCTGCTAGTGACTCCTAGGGTTAGAATAGAGAGAATTATTTTTGTACTTGTTAATAATCCAAATGTTATCTGTTTCCAGATCACCTAAATCTTTTCACTTATTTGAAAATCACCATAAAAGAAATTGATTAGCTTTTTCTTCTCTCTAATTTTCCTGAACAGCCCAATGATATTCCTTTAATATCAAAAGAGCTTGAATGGTAAAGAGCTCTAAGGAGATGTCATAAATAAAGGGACCCTATAGCTGTTAAGAAGCATCAGAACAGATATTCTTAACCTGGGGTCCACACAGAGATCTGTGGAAACTGAAACCATAGATTTCACCACCTTCTAAAAATGTTAAGCACTAGTAAATACAATCAAGAGTAGGTACCTCATTGAAAACTCTATTGGTACAACCCACTGCCTCCCAAGAAAGGCAAGTCATTTGTCATTTCTCTTTTTCTTGCACACTTAAAAGCCGATTCATTCGGAATTATTCAAGTTCATTTTACTCCTTACAAACTTTTCCAACCTCTATACACATTATTAGTAATAAAGAATGAGACCTTTTCAAAAAAGTGTTCTTCTTTTCAATGATGCTGGATAGGCGTTGTTGAGAATTTAAGTGGCAACGTCCATATTGATTCTCATGAGATTTGTGGATTTTACTTATTCTATGTTACCCCATCTTTATCATAGATTTAGGTATATATCCAACCAACATTTTTAAATAATTTTTATAAGGCAAAATAAAGGTTCTCTACATCAAGTATGATCTTGCTTGTAATGTGTATTTGTAGCAATATGGCCAGTATTCTCTTGCTGTAAGAGGCTCAGACAGAGACGGTGGGGCAGATGGCATGTCAGCGGAGTGTGAATGCAACATTAAAATCCTCGATGTCAATGATAACATCCCATACATGGAACAGTCCTCGGTAAGTACTTGCTCTCGAAATGAGTAACTTTAAATGAATTCTATTCTAAAATTCATATGAACAATTCTGTTTACAGGTATACATGCTGCTTCGTAACATACAACCCAAATATAGACACATACCTTTTTCTAGTCCTTGGTAATATAATAGGGAAACATTGATTAATAATAATATAATAGGGAAACAATAATGAAAAGTGAGATTATAAACAGTAATTTTGGTTGAATAATGAATAGCAATAAGAATTCCAATATAAATCTACTATAGCTCTTCTCTCACACAGTTTGTATTAAGATTATTTACTTCTTGTTTCAGTATTCTGTAAATATCGAAGAAAATGCTCTACATTCAGATTTGCTCCAGATAAGAGTAATTGATTTGGATGAAGAGTTCACAGCCAACTGGATAGCAGTGATTTTCTTTATCTCTGGAAATGAAGGAAATTGGTTTGAAATAGAAATGAATGAAAGAACAAATGTGGGAATTTTAAAGGTTGTTAAGGTATGTTCTAATTATCCTAAATATTTGGCTTTATTGCTCTTTTACAAAATGTTAACTATAAAATAAAATGATGTTGAAATCTCACTAATGAGTCAGTGAATGAATAAAAATCAGTATGTTTTAAAATTTTAAACAACAGTCTTTTTGACAGGGAGTTTTTCTGCTTATTTCATTTCATGGAAATAGGCATTCAAGTTTAACTTGAAACTATATTTATTATTACAGTACATCCCAACAGAACATATAAATTAAAAAATGTTTTAAAATAAGAATCTTATGCTTATAATGAAGTATGATTAATCCTTAAGTTAATATTTTAAGGACGTTTTTAGAAGTGAATTTAACATGCACATAAAAAAATGCATCCATATCAACATTGTAAGTCAATTATACAGTGTTGCTACTGATCAAGGTTTATTAAGAGCACAAAAATACAAGAGGTTTGTCCCAAGTCAATGGTTTTCTCCTATATCTTACCTATTTAGTGATCTACCATATTTGGTTGCAACAGAATGTGAAATGTGAGAAAAAACATCTTGCTCCTAGGGGTCTGATAGTGCAGGTTTCTCCTGTGCTATAAGACATCTAGATTCCATTTGAAAAATCTACAGTAGCTGTACAGTGATTGCATATGATTCATGCAGTATGTGTCCTTCATGGTAAAGTGTAATCCCTTTTTAATTATTTCTCTCTTTGAGAACATACCGAGAAACAGACTCCTAAGGAATTCTGTTCCCATAAGAACGAGTGGTCTTTTGCCTCCTGTGTCTTCATAAAATGTCACCTTGCCTAAAGCTTCCACTTGAAGTGGTGTCCAAATGCTCAAGTTCATTTCATACAGTGTCTTTTCAAATTAGATTATATCAGGCCCATGTCGCAGATTGAGGTTCAGAGAAGATACATAACCTACTCACATCCTCATAGGTAGTAAATAGTACAGCCAACATTCAAACTGAAGTTTCCCTAGTTGTGAAGTTTGTTTTCTTTCCACAGTTCTATTAAGATACTGGACATATGGAGTCTAATTTATTTCACCCCCAAAGCACTATATCACTTTAGAAAATCATTCAACCCACTTGTTCTCACTCTCTCTCTCTGTGCAAAAATATGTATGAGGGGTCTTCAAAAAGTATGTGTGTGATGTATATGTATACATGATTGTACAGCTATCCTTTAAATTACAAATAAAAACCAACAATAGAACAAAGATTCGACGTTTTAGCTAAGTACAAGAGTTCCATATATGAATCTCTATTTTCACCTAAACTACTTTCATGGGAAGTTTTAGAAAAGTATTAGGTTGTTGGGAAATTCATGATGTACTTTTCTGTTTTCTTATGCAAAAATGCATCATGACTTTCCCAACAACTTAACATATTTGGTACATATGACCATAACGGCACAGTTCTTTGTGGATTTTCTGAGTTGGAGATATTGACATCATCTTTCCTAATGTAAAGTGTTATGTTGATTATTTTATAATATGAAATTGATTTTTTCCTAAGATATGTTGAAGGAAATAAGGAGTTTTTGAGTATCATATATATATTACATTCTGTGACTTTATTCAAAGATTCATATTCACAGAAGTGAATTTTTTTTCTAAAGCTTTATGGATAAACCCAAATGATTCAACTTCCATTATGTTTGACTCATACATTGAAATCCATAGAGATATTTTCTGAGAAGGATGAAATGATTGACACTAGCATCAGTTGTCATTGCACCACAAAATATGTAAATTCAGCTACCAGTTTTAAGTCTAAGTTTAAGATTAGTATGTTTGGTGGACAATTAAAGCTTATATCAATCATTTTCAACTTTTTAAACGATACAGGGCAACTGGATTTTTATTACTATCTTTACATGTATTTACATTGAATTAAGAATCAGTTTATACATACATATGTAATTTTTTTAAAAGAACATAAGAATTTTTAAGTATTCTCAAAGGACTTTTATCTGGAATGTTTTGTCTTCTTCTAATAAAAGTATTTCATTCTATATTTTCTAGCCCTTAGATTATGAAGCTATGCAAAATCTGCAACTCAGTATTGGCGTTAGAAATAAAGCTGAATTTCATCATTCAATTATGTCTCAATATAAACTCACAGCAACTGCAATCTCTGTGGCTGTATCCAACGTAATTGAAGGCTCAGTGTTCCGTCCAGGTTCAAAGACATTTGTAGTAACTAGTAACATGGGACAAGGTTATAAGCTGGGAGGCTTTCCAGCTATTGACCTGGACACAGGTTTAGCTTCAGCAACTGTTCGGTAAGAATGCCATTTTCTAACTCATTTTTACTACATAGTAAACTTAAGTCCTTTTTTATTTTAGACATCTGAGGTATCTGAATTAAAATGTTTCACTATCTTTCAATCATCATTCAAATGTAAAAAGTACTAACTGGGACCAGCAGATGGTCTAACGGTTACATTGTGGACTCCCATCTAGTCAACCGCAGTTCAAGTCCTAGACCTGGCAGCTTAAAACTCATGCCTGGCACATATGCATGTATGACCAAAGTCCCAACAGAAGAATGGAGGAGAAAGGAGAGTGGCATGGCCATTCACTCGAGGGGTGATTTCTTGCTTTCTGTCTCTCTGTCTTTGTCTCCAGGAAGCTCATATGCCCTATAGCAAAAAATCTGTCTTAAAAAAATACTAACTACTAAATTGTTATTTAAATTAGATGCTTAAGAAAATATAACAATTTGCAAGATGTAAGATGAACTGCAAAGATATACTTTGTGATAATAATAGATCTCTGAAGTTTTGACATTCCTGGGTTTGTATATCTTACTAGTCAATTAACTGATTGCCACATGCTATGATTATTCCCCTGTAAGATGTCATGAGATTAATTTTTCCATTGCAAATTTGCCCTGCTTAAAACAATTAGACTTGGCTCAATTCAGTTACCTCCTTCATTTTAATCAGCACATGATCTTGGTCAATAACTTTGGTATGAAAAAGTAGTTCTTGTAAGGAAAAAGTAAGCTATGTCCCCTTTAAAAATTCTATATGTACAAATATTTGTACAGTAATTCTCCCTTATCCTCAATTTTGTTTCCATGGTTTCAATTACCTGAGGCCAATCACAGTCATGTAGTGCAATAAGGTATTTTTTTTAGTTTATTTACTTCTTCCATGAGCAAGATAGACAGAGAAATAGAGACAGTACTCCCTAACATGATCCCCATCCATCGGATTATGCCCAGCCTTCAGCTGGCCCCAGACCATGGTCACACGTGTGTCCAGCACACTCAAGGATGTTTCCATACTTGATCTGAGACCTTCCTATGTGTGATCACCTTGCAGAACCTCACATTTTACTGCTGCACCAGTGTCTAATCCAATTGTAGGATATTTTGAGAGAAAGAGGGTACATTCACATAAATTTTATTACAATATATTGTTGTAATGTTCTATCTTATTAGTCATTGTTCTTCATCTTTTACTGTGCCTAATTTATACATAAACTTTATCATTGGTATACGTGTATAGGAAAAAAGATATTATGTACAGGGTTTAGTATTATCTGTGGTTTCAGGCATTCGCTGGGTGTTTTAGAAGGCGTGCCCTTCAGTAAGGGGAGCTACTACACTTAATCATGAAAATGTGTGCACATGTATACGCGTATTTGTACATGTGACTGTGATCGAGGAGAACGGTGAGGAAAGACCTCACAGATAGGCTTTCAAAGTTCTTCCTCTCTGTTCTCACCAAGTAGTGCCATCATAGCTCTTCTTAGGCCGTACTGCAAGCAGTGCTGAGCTTTCTGGTACCCCACAGGAATCACTGAGGGCAACCCCCTCATCACTGTTCCTCTCAAAGATATATTCCCAGAGCTTAGCATAATGCCTGAAAAGGAGAGTTATTTAGCCAGTGTTTACACAAATATCTAAGAAAAACATTGAAATCAGTGATGAAGAAAAAAGCCAAGGCAAAGACGTAATTTCAAATTTGAAAGAAGTCTTGTGAAGTCATCGTGCCTGTGGGGAGAAGGAATGGAAGTGGGGAGGGAGTGCAGGCCATGCTGGTGAGCAAGGAGCAACTTCTTTGGTAAGAGAATATCTAAAACTAGGAGTATCCCAGGAAGATCCATGATTTAGATCTTTAGAGACAGTTGGGTTGCCACCAAAATCAAATGAATATGAGACTGCAAGTACCAAAAGGTTATTCTGAGATCTGGATGGGCATGAAAAGACATTCTCTCAGAAATAGCTCATCAGTAGGTCTTTTTTCTTTAAATTTTAATGTATGTCTACTTCTGAATGCCCTATACAGATGGGACTTCCTCAAAAAAATAAAAATCTCTAAAAATTAAAACCTATGTCCAGGGGTTATAACTATTAACTAGAAAAATATGTTAGAATTTAAATGTTTTTCTTTTTCAATAGCTGACATTAATTTGTATTGCTTTCTTTCCACAGCTATGTAATGGGAAATAATCCAGCCGGCTTGCTAGATGTTGACTCAAAATCAGGCATGATTATTTTGAGAAATAGAGTTACCTGGGAACAATATAAAATGCTTAATGGAAAATATCAAGGAACAATTCTATCTATAGATGGTAAGAAATCAATTAACATTGTTCTCTCTCTTATAGAAGAAGCTTTAAAAGAGGGCACTTTAAAAATTTCTTGGGAAAATAAAGTATGAGTTTACCTTGGTGTAAAAAAACTAATTTTGAAATCAATGTATACTTTTTCCACAGTATACATTTCCATGAACTTTTAAAGACTCCCCATATACACTTAGATATTAAAATTTTAATTAAATTTTAAATAATGTTTTTTAACAGAAGTTGTTATATTGAGTATTACAGACTCAAATCTCTACAATATGAGGCAACATAATTTAGTGGCTAAGTCCATAAGCTCTGAAGTAAGACTCACTTAACTATTACATATGTTCAGTGATGTTTTTATGTATTTATTCAGAAAGTATATATTGAGTCCTAACTAAATGTCAGCCATTGTGCCAGGTTCTAGGTCAGATCAGTGAGCAAAGTCAAACCACTGAATTGACATCTACATTTAAAAAAAGATAAAATAAATCACCTCAAAATTTTTCTATATTGTTACCCAATGATTCCACTTCCAATAATCTTGGGAAAAAGCATAAGTACAAGAGGCTGAATCGCAGAGATGTTAATTACAGCACTATCTTTAATAATTAAATATTGAAAGAGTGACCCAACCAGTGGTGTAACAATTAAGGTGGCTGGATCCCACATGCCCAGCTGAATGATTTGAATCCCAGACCCAGTGGCTTGAAAATCATGCTGGGCATGTGTGCATGCATGTTCAAAATAAGGAGAAAAAAGAGAGAATATAAGAGATTGGGGCATGGTCATCTCCCCATGGGGGGGGAGAATTCAGTGTTTTCTCATTTTACCTTTCTTTCTCTCTCTCACTTTCAAAATATATACGTGTGTGTGTGTGTGTGTGTGTGTGCATATGTGTGTGTATAGTGTATTTATAGCACTAACCACAATAAATAACTGAGCAGGTAAAATACTTAGTACAAAATTATGTAGCCCCCAGAAACCATGTTAATGAAAAGTTTATTAAAAATGAAAGAATACTTCCTGTTTAAAGTACAAAATATAAAATAAAGTGAAATATGTTATCATATCAATGTAATAGAAATAATAAGTAGGGACCAGCAGTTAGTGTAATGGCTATGTCACTGGACCTGGTGGCTTAAAACTCATGCCGGACACGTGTGCATGCGTGCCCAAGATCCCAAGAGGAGAATGGAGGAGAAGGGATTGCAGCATGACCATCCCCCCTGGGGGGGTGATTTCTCGTTTTCTGTCTCTCTGTCTCTGTCTATCTGGCAAGCGCACATGCCCTATAGCAAAAAACCTCTCCAAAAAAAAAAGAAAGAAATAATAAGTAGCCCTTAGGGATCATAATTAAGGACAAAAGATTGTCAAGAAAATATCAATAGGGGTTGTCTTTGAGTACTGGTGCTATAGACTTTGTTTTTGTTTGCTTCTTTCTATCATTCTATACATTCGAAATTATATATCCAACTATTGAAAATATAATGAAACAATTCAATAACTTATATTTTATCTTGTAATAACAATGTTGGACCAGCTGGTGGCATGGTAGGTGAGGCATCTAGATCCCAAGTGGCTGATTGTGGAGTTCAAGTCCTGGACCCAGTGGCTTGAAAAACACACCAGGCACGTGTGCATGTATGCCCCAAATCCTGAAAGGATTAAAGGAGAAGAAAGGATGGTGGCATGACCATCCCCCATGTGAAGGACATTCTCACTTTCCTTCTCTCTTTCTGTCTCTCTCCAGTGAGAGACACACATGCTCTAGCAATTAAAAAAATGACAATAATGTTAACTATGATAATACTTATACAATAACTTAATTGACTGAAATGTCTCAAATCATCCCTGTCACAAACAAAAGACAATTTGGAACGTTATCAAAATGATGGGAAGAAAGACATTGAAATAAGTATTGATATAAAAAAGCGTTCTGTATTGTCTATTATTACACTAATGTTTCAAATATCTTTTTCATTTTGAATCTTGTTACAGATAATCTTCAAAGAACTTGCACTGGTACAGTCATCATTGATCTTGATGGTTCTGGTTGGGAAGAAGTTGTAACTAATACAGATGGCACAAATACTGGTAGTACCAATACCAATACCAATACCAATACCAATACTGGTGTCAACACTGGAGGTGGTACCAGTACAGGCACAGGTGGTGGTCCTAGCACTGTTGTAGACGTTTTACCCACCACAGACAGAACAGGCGTAAGCAACACATATAAAGAACCTGACATATATCCGGCAAGGGAAGGTCTCACAGATAATGTACATTTTGGCCCTGCTGGAATTGGATTGCTCATCATGGGATTCCTGGTCCTAGGATGTAAGTGCTTTAATAATCCTATTTATATATGTCCTCCTGACCAAGGGAAAAATTAGTGGAAATCAGTTTCCTGATTCTTTGATAAAATATATTTTATAAATTCTTATTGTGTGTAATGATCAAGAAATTTCTATGGTTGTTTATAAGATTTTAAAAAATCAAACTTTTTGATCCCTTATAATATGTGGATGGAGATTGTGCCATAACAAGTAGGATGAAATTGCTATTTGAGTAAAGAAGATAATCAGAAATGACCTAGAGAAACAATCAGAAGAGGCTACACAGAGAAAGTAAACTCTTGAGTTCGGTTTTCACAAAGAACAGGAGTTAGTCTGATGGAAAAGAAAAGAGATTATGAAACAAGGACAAAAATTCTGCATGCCAAAGCCCAGAAGATTGAGCGTGCAAGATACTCAAATAAAGGACTCCAATGTGGAAGAAATAAAGGATGTGCCTAGTTGCATAAAGAGGGTTGAAACCATAAAAAGAAGCAGGGAGTTAGGTTGAAGGGACTTTATGCTATGCTAAGGTGCATAGCTTAAGAAAAGGAGAGTCAAATAGGGTGAAACTCCAGCTTCCAAACTTAGTCGTCTGAGTCTTTTAAAGGTTTCCTAACCTTTCTGAGCTTCACTGTTATCTGTGAAATATTAATCCTTATTTCACAACGTTGCATTGATGATGAAAAAGAAGTATCACTCAAGAAGGATTTCACACATTCTGTGGTCATTAGAGTAACCCTAGGCAAGAATGTGACCATGAGGGCAGAACCAGTGGATTCTCCAGATGGTCTTCAACATTGCCTTGGATGATAACAGAAATCAGGGTGGAGAGGAGCACCATGTACAGCCTTTGAGGAATGAGAATAGCAGCTCTGAAGTAAATAGTCTGAAGTATGTGCATAATTAAATTAATGTAAAAATTGCCATTTCCAAGTATAGAATAATGAAATCTTAATGTCAATAGATATCTCAGCTATTTCATCAAAACACACATAAAATGTCAAGAACGCTTACATAGAAATATTTTTTCTGCTTTCATTTCTCTTGAATAGCCATAAAAAGATATTTTTCACTACTTTTATTTGTAAACTATTTTTTTCTCTGATTTTAATAACTCAGCCTTTTAAACATTTTTTTTTTTTTTTTGGAGAGGTTTTTGCTATAGGGCGCATGCGCTCGCCAGACAGACAGAGAGAGACAGAGAGACAGAAAGTGAGAAATCACCATCCAGGGGAAATGGCCACACCACAATCCCTTCTCCTGCATTCTCCTCTAGGGATCTTGGGCATGCACGCACACATGCCCAGAGTGAGTTTTAAGCCACCAGGTCCAGGACTCGAACAGCTGTCAACTACATAGGAGTCCAGTGACATAGCTATTACGCTAACTGCTGGTCCCAGCCTTTTAAACTTTTTAATCAACTTTGGATTTATTTAAATGAAGAGTATGGGCCTGCCAATGACACAGCTTAGTGTGGAGGCTCTTTTATCCATAATTTCAAAAGTATTAATAGTTCAGAAAATAAAAAGGTTTATATAAGCAATAGGAATTCATTCATATTGGCTCATAATAAATTAGAGTGATAACCAGGAAGGTTTTTTATAAAAGTAGGAACAATTTTAAAAAAGAAAGTTTTCTCACCAAAATGAGCCTCAGCAAGAAGAATGCAAACTGCTAGCAAATGTGTGGAATGTAACACAAAATACCAGAGAACTCCAAAAAGCTTGTGGAAAAATGGAATTACAGTATGGGATTATTTTTCATAGTATGCATTTTCCATGAATTTTGGAAAACTCCTCATGTATGAGAATGGATAGTTCTGTTTTTCTAGTAATATTGATTTTTTATCATCATCACAAAACTTTAAAATTCAATATTTTGTATAAGTAACTTAGTTACTCAGGTGCTGGTTATTATTATAAACAATATCTAACTTTTACTTAGAATTTGTTTTTTGTTCAGTGATTACCGCTAGATAGTGTAGTTCATAAAAGATTTTAAAATTATATGTGAGCTTTAACATCAATACCTCTAGCTTCAGTGTTTTTCTCTCAGCCTGGCATATTTTCGAAAAAGCAGAATACATGGACTTCTCTTCATCCTCTTCCTGTCGCCCTTAATTTTTCTATCTTCCATATTCCCTACCTTCCTTCCTTCTGTCCTTTCTCATTTCCTCATTTTTTATTTAAATTTCCACATTTTTGAAATGCCTTTGCCTTAATGCATTCATACACTCAAAGCCATTTATTAAGACTGTGGGGGCCAGCAGGTGGCGTGATGGTTAAGGGCACTGGACTCCCACATAACCAACCACGGTTTGAGTTCCAGACCTGGTGACTTGCTTTCTCACTTTCCCTCTTTCTCTCTGTCTCTTTCTCTCACTCTGTCTCTGGTTAAGTATAAATAAATAAATAAAGTCAAAATAAAATAATTCTTTTTAAACAAGATTGTATTATATAAAAGACTGTGCTAGAAACTATTAATAAATAAATGAGTAAGAAAAATCCAATTAACAAAAGATATTATTAAGTAGTGTGATGTTCTCTATTTGTGCAAGAATAAGTTAAATAAAAGATATTTATGTAGGTAAAAATAACATCTTCATAGAGAATACTTGCCTGAAGCATAAATAAGAGTTTATGACCAAAATAAATATAGACAGATGCATGTGAAAGAAGGAAAATAAATGAAGCCATGGAGGAGAGAACACGAAGAATCAAGATTGCCTGGTCTCTCCAGTTTTCTTCTTCTTGCTTTAATATTTTGCTGAATAATGATAGAAAAAGGACTCATTCATTTTAATATTATAATACTATTTATAATTTGAATAGTGTAAAATGAATTAATTGCAATCTAATATACAAATCAAACTTATTTTGGTATCTGACCATTGTTCTCTGAAACTAATATTAGCAACAAATAAACTCATATTAGAATCAAGTGGAGTTATATTAGGAATTAAAATTTGACCATAGAGAAGTTGGATGTACTGTTTTCACATGGGCCCATTGCTAATCTCAGTATTCTATCTGTTCACTGTCAGTGGTCCCGTTTTTGTTGATCTGCTGTGATTGTGGAGGTGGAGCTGGTGGTGGAGCCGGCTTTGAGCCTGTTCCTGAATGTTCGGATGGAGCAATTCACTCATGGGCAGTAGAAGGACCACAGCCTGAACCCAGGGTAAGTACTGATCTGTAAAATGCCTTCGGTAGTTGCCTAAACTTAGGTTTTCCACATGTAAACCTGATGTTAGTGATCACTTACAGTCTATGCCAGTCTTTGTTCTGGGATAGCTAATGGGGAAAATGAAGATTCAAAAGTGCATCAAAAACTAGGGGACTATTGGCCAGTAGGTGGCATGGAGGTTAAAGTGCTGTATCCCATATGGCTGGCTACATGGTCCGAAGTTTCAGACCCAGTGGCTTGAGAATCTTGCCGGGAGTGTGTGCACCTGTACTCAAAATCCTGAGAGGAGACAGAAGGAAAAGAGATTGCAGTGCAGCCGCCTGCCACCCAGCTGGGGTGGGAGGATGGTGATTTCTCACTTTCCCTCTTTCTCTGTGGTAAGCACACACATCCTAAAGGAAAAAAAAAAAAAAAAAAAAAAACTAAAAACAACTAGAAGAGTCTTTCTAAATGTGGTTCAGATTTTAAGTGGATTTTAAGTTTCCTAAATAGTATTTTTAAGGAAATCTGAGATAATTTGAAAATAAACCAAATGAGTAACTACAAAAAGAAAAGAGTCATTACAAATGGGAAAATGTTTCTTATCTTTTAGGATATAGCTACTATCTGTGTACCACAAATGCAACCTGATAATGCAAATATAATTGAATACACTGACACCCCAGGTAAGAAAAAAAAAGTTTTTAACAGTTCAAAGACTAAGAAACTCTATTTTTTTCTCTTTGCATACGGTTTTTCAGTGATCTTATGTCTTAGGTCTTCTATAAATAAAAATATTACATTGCAGCCTTGAATCAATTTTGGTCAAGAGTTTGTTTGCATCTTCCATGAGTAAGAGAAACAGAGAGCCCCCAACAGGGCCTCCACTCCACCCTTCAGCCTTATTCCAGCCCAAGGTCATGAGCAAGCATAGTGCAGGAGTTCACAGGGAGGTCTCTGGGCATGACCTGGGAACCTTCCCATGTGAGAACCGCCCAGCAGAGAGAGAGAGAGAGAGAGAGAGTGTAACTATTGGGTCATCAAAAAAGTCATGATATATTTTTCTGTTTTTCTATGCAAATATACATCATGAGTTTTCTGACAACCCAATATATAGATAAGAAAGAGATAGACACTAATTAAAATTAAAGCACAACTATGTCAAAGTAGCTCTATGCTCATTTATTAAGGCCAAATCTTCCTCCACAATTAATGTAGTGATTCAAAGCTGCTCTGACTTTAGTTGCTAATTTTGATGAAGAAAAAAAACTATATTGACTCTTCAATATCTGCGTAAATATTGACCTTAAAAAAGATCTGATCAATTTCTTAAGTTGAGAGTATATTATATAATATATGGTATATAATGTACTCTCAATATAGTATATAATATACTCTCAACTTAAGAAATTGATGAAATATAGATGAAATATAGTCAAGAGCTTTCAAAGCTCTCAAATGACATTGGGTGCCTTTGGTAGAGTTTCTCCTTGCACATGGGTCAGACTATGTCAATACAACTTGCCTTAAAACAGATCCCAGGAAGAAACAAGGGAATAATTAGATCCTAATAAAAAGCAATTAGAATAACTTCTTCATGGGACCAGCAGATGGTGTAGCACTTATGTCACTGGGTTCCCACATGGCTGACCACAGTTCAAGTCCTGGATGCAGTGGCTTGAAACTCACAGAAGGCATGTGTGCCCATGTGCCCAGGATCCCAGAAGGAGAATGGAGGAGAAGGGATTGTAGTGCGACCATTCCCTCTGGGGGTGATTTCTCACTTTCCCTCTCACTGTCTCTCTCTCTCTCTCCTCTGGGTGATGTCTCTCTCTCCCTCTCACTCTCTCTCTCTCTCTCTCTCTCTCTCTCTCTCTCTCTCTCTCTCTCTCTTCCTAAAGCAAAAACCTCTCAAATAAATAAATAAGAAAATAATAACTTCTCATATCTATGAAAATAGTTGTAACATCTTATCTTTTTCAGGTAAACAATGTTTATTATCTTATTTACCTCTTAGTCTTTTTCAAACTAGCGCTCATCACTTTTCTACTTTGATTGCTTTAAAATGCAACAGGTATAAAAATGTTGCTGTTTGTAAAATTGGACCTTATTCAAAGAACTGGGCACACTAATCTCTTAACTTATTTCGCCTCCTGGTGTATCCATTTTTCAATGCCACCAATGTCTCTCCTACTCCAAAAGTGGAAACTCAATTGTTAACTCCCTTTTTGTGTCAATCTCCCTGTTATAACACCCAATCTGTTCTCAGAATCATTAAGTCTACTAGATATTTATTTGTGCATTTATTTTCTCAATAAGTCTACAAACCTTTGCAAAAATCTTAAACAGAGCACGATGAGAGATACTAAGTTCACTGAAGCATGAAAAACATACTGTCTCCAGACTCAAGATCTTTAGAATATTACAGTCCCTGGATACCTATCCCAATATAAACATTCTGTCATGCATGGACATTCCATAGGACAGGCCATCATTTTATCCCACCTCGCTCAAATATTGTCACAGGCTTCTACTAACTGTTCATATGCAAGATTCACCATGAAAATATTTTCCCTCACCGTAGCCATCCATGGTCTCTTCTCTGAATTCCTGTGGTTCTCATGCCTTCCTCTAGGTGCCCTGTACTCTAATAATGTATTGGGGTATTCTTATACTGAATTTTAACCTCTAAAATTTGAGTAATTTCCCTCCATTTGCAGTTAAACTCTAAAACATAGGTTCTTATAACTTCAGTACTACATTCCCCACTTCCTGCTCAGCACAGAGTAGTCTCTCAATAGATAATTATGAAATTTGCAAGCTCATAATAACGTTATTTTACCCAGTATCCCGCATAGCCCTTTCTTTACATATGATCTTTTTTCTTTGTTCATAAATGCATATTTTAAATGAAAAAAATGAATGTTATAATACGTTGTTAATATTTCGTTTACAATACACTGGAGAAAGTAAATTTGATATTATTAACACTTTCAGGAGTTTATACAAATGACTATTGCGGCCGGGAAATGCAGGACCTGGGAGGAGGAGAAAGAACAACAGGATTTGAAATAGCAGATGGAGTTAAAACAGGACAGGAGATATGTCAAGACTATTCTGGAACGTTAAGAAGAAATTCTATGAGAGAATGTAGAGAAGGAGGTCTGAATATGAATTTCATGGAAAGCTACTTCTGTCAGGTAAGGTCTCTAGTCAAGAGCCTCCCTCCCCGTCTGTGCAACCGTATCTCTAATCCGCGCCCTCACGAAATCCCAGTGGGGCTTTGCAAGCAGTCTCTTAACTAGATTCTCAAACTCTAGTCTCCACGCCTAGCAATCCATTGCTGCTGAATGATATCTTTAAAGCTCTGATCTGAGCACATGATTATACCACTTAATAGCAGCAGTGGCCCCAGCTCTGTTTTGGCCATGGCATGAAGTCCATGCTTCCTAATGTGACAAGTAGGTTGTTTATGAATCAACCCCTTGACCACATTTACTGAGCACCTTTGCCTTATTCACAGCAGGCTTTTCTCCTACCTTTGCTCATGCCGTGTCCCTTCTGGAATGCTTTTATTCCATCATCTCTCTCTCAAACTCATATCTGTCTTTCTTCCCAGGCACAGTTCAAATACCACTGCCTTGTTAAAGATTTCACGGTAACCCTCTGGGGAAAATAAGATTCGCCTTTTCTCATCTGCATGTCTGTAGTACTTTTGTTAATACCTTTAATAGAACATATCATTGTTCAAATCTGCTTTCATATATCTATCACCATTTTTTGTGTCTCATTCATATGTTCTTTACATTATATTGCCAGTCCTAGACACTTCCAGGCACCTAGTAAACATTCAGTAAGAGCGGGTTCAAGAGTCATAGTATACCTCCAGATCATTCTAAGAACCACCTGTTGGTAAAGGAAGAATGAGAAGCCTAAAGCAGCAGCAGAAGGAGAATTAATGTTGTCATTCCCAGACAGAAATGCAATTGCTGGTGATTTCAGACCGTATGATACTTCTCTTTGGGAAGTCTCTGTGTCTGTTACTGTCTGGAAACAAATCTCTGTCCTTCTGTATTCTGATCTAAAATACCTTCACTAATTCCCCTAATGAGTTAGAAGGCGGCTGATATATAGAGGCCAGCAGGTGGCATGGTGATTGAGGTGCTGGACTCCTACATGGCAGAACACAATTTGAGTCCCAGGCCTGGTTGAGTCCCAGGCCTGGTGGCATGCTTTCTCATTTCCCCTCTCTCTTTCTGTCTGTCTCTGTCTCTCTTTGGTGAGAACATGCACCTGATAGCAAATTGAAAATGATAATAGATAAGATTAAATAAATAATTCTTTTTTGTTGGAAAGAGATTTTTGCTATAGGGCATGTACATTCACCCAGAGAGACAGAGACAGAGAGAAAGAAAGCAAGAAATTATCCCCTAGAGAGGATGGCCTTGTCACAACCCCTTCTCCTCTATTCTCCTCTCAGGATTTTGGACACACACGCACACACTTCCAGCGTGAGATTTAAGTCACCAGACCCAGGACTCAAACCACAGCCGACTACATGGGAGTCCAGTGATGTAACCATTATGCCATCTGCTGGTCCCAAATAAATCATTATTTTTTTAAAAAAAGAAAGAAAAGAAAAGAGGGACCAGTTGACGGTTATGTCACTGGACTCCCACATGGCAGATAGCGGTTCGAGTCCCAGACCCAGTGACTTGAAACACATACCGGGTACATGTGCGTGCATGCCCGAAATTCCAAGAGAATGGAGGAGAAAGAATTGAGGCATGGCCACGTACACTGGTGGCGGGTGTTGTCTCTGTCTCTCTGGAGAGCACACAGGCCCTAGGCAAAAATCTCTTTAAAAAGAAAAAGTGGCTGGCATGTTTAAACAAAATATTAGTAAAAGCTTTCCACTTGGCAATAGATAATGAGACTTGTTGCTACAATTCATAGGAATATTTCCTGTCTGAGTCCCTACATATGAGTATTATTTTTATACAAGCAAAAGCCCAGCTCAGAACTTCTGCATTTACAGTTCTCTATGCCCAGAAGACTCTATTCACTTCACTTACTCTTTCATTTCAGTTCAATCTCTGATCCGACATCACTGTATCAGAAATATCTTTCTTGACCACCATATCTAAAATAACAGCCTCCACTCACTCTCAATCCCTTTACCCTGTACTTTCTCCTGGCATGTGTTTATGGATCGCCTGTCTCACTCTACTAAAATGTAATCCCAATGAGAGAAGTGCTTTATGTGGTTTTGATCATTACTGCAAAACTAAGTTGCTAACAGAGTATCTAACAAATAGCAAAGTCCTATTATGAACTTTGTGACTGAAATAGCACAATGAACTGGTTAAGGTATTTCTGATACTTAACCAGAAAGTTTGCAATCCAATATTATGAACAGCAAAGATGAGCTAAAAATCCACATGAGGCCAGTCAGTGCCCTGGTGGTTAAGGCAACTGGATCTCACAAGGTCAACTGCATGGTTCAAGTCTTAGACGCAGAGGCTTAAAAAGCATGCCAGATGCAAAGTGGTCAGATATGGAGGATCTATTGCTGAGTGAAGTAAGCCAGGCTATGAAAGAAAGATATTGTATGTATCCACTCAATATATACCGACTATCCGCACTCTATGATAGAGAGCAAAAAATTGGAGGACAGAAAAGCAATGAAGGTACTTAATGAGAGCAGGACAGTGTGGAATGGGGGTAGTGGAGAGGATAGAGAAAGATAGCAAGAGAACAATAGAGAGGCAGGACATTAGTGAGAAACAGATATGGCTTATTAACTGTTGATGATGACATGTATAGTACTCTCAACTGGATTGGTCTGAGAAGTATTTCATGATGGGCTAAGTATTTTTACAAGCAAAATGAGAAATAGCGATTGACTGTTTTAAAAAATAATAATAATAATAATAATAATGATTGGGGAAAACATAGAAAAGATATTGAATGTTGAAGCGGGGAGATTAATGTCTTTGTACTTACTGACTTGCATGGCATTCCCTTTTGAAAAAGCAATGTAATACACTGTAAAGTTATATGTAATCCAATGTAATATAAAGAAGATTATGATGATAATAAAAAATTTTTAAAAATTTAAAAAAATTTAAAAATTAAGAAAAAAAGCATGCCAGATGCACATGCATGCATGTCCAAAATCCTGAAAGGAGAAGTGTAGAAGGAGTACATGGCCATCCCCCATCGAGGCTGCTTCTTTCTCTCTTTTCTTTTCTGTCACTTTTCTCTCTGTCTCTCTCTCCCCCTTTCTCATGAGCACACACATCCTCTAGCAAATTTGGAAAAAAAAAAAGAGAAAAGTGCATGTCTGTGCACATGTCACTTGGAATTAAAAGAGAGATATTTTTAAAAATTGTCCTTGGTCACTGTTAATTTTGAATATGAAATGGCATACAACCAGAGTCTAATTTTCCTGTTGCTGTGCAGAGAAAATCCACACTGAAATAAGCCTTCACACACCCACATGTTTACTCCAACTGAAAGAAAAGAAACACGGTCCTGAATGAACCAAAATCCCAAAATCAACCAGTAATTACCTTTTTGAGACCAAGAAAACATTGCTTTTGTGTACTTAGTTAACATGTTTATGTATCTCCTTCTAACTGGGTTATAAAATCATTCAGACCTTTTTTTTTTTTTTTGTAATTTTGTGTTCAAAGTACACAGTTATAAACAAGTTCATGCAAGTAAGTTTTCAAAGCCAAAGTATATTATCAGAATTATAGTTAAAATAGTTTCTAATCAAATTCTTTCAAGCAATTTAATCATGATTTTTAAAGCATCTCCAATAGCTGTTAGAATTTTGTTTTATATATTCTTTTGTTGGTGATATGCTGGGAAAAAATAAGTGTATTAGGATTAAAAATGAATTTTTAATTTTATTTTCTCTTTTTTTTCCTACAAATTTAGAAAGCATATGCTTATGCCGATGAAGAGGAAGGACGCCCATCCAATGACTGTTTGCTCATTTATGATATTGAAGGTGTAGGTTCCCCCGCTGGCTCCGTGGGTTGTTGTAGCTTCATTGGAGAAGACTTGGATGACAGTTTCTTGGATACCCTGGGGCCTAAATTTAAGAAGTTGGCAGATATCAGCATGGGAAAGGAAGTCGAACCCTATCCAGACCCTGATCCTACTTGTCCTGCTTGGCCACCTCAGAGCACTGAACCAGTTTGCCCTCCACAAGGAACAGAGCCCATTAGTGGGCACCCACCAATCTCCCCCCATTTTGGCAAGACCACGGTCATTTCTGAGAGCACTTATCCCTCCGGACCCGGTGTTCAGCATCCTATGCCTATTCCTGATCCTCTGGGCTATGGCAATGTCACTCTGACCGAGTCTTACGCCACCTCTGGCACCCTGAAGCCTTCTGTCCACATTCATGATAACCGACATGCATCAAACGTGGTGGTGACAGAGAGGGTGGTAGGCCCCATCTCTGGCACTGATTTGCATGGAATGTTAGAGATGCCTGACTTGAGAGATGGGTCCAATGTTATAGTGACAGAAAGGGTAATAGCTCCAAGCTCAAGTCTACCCACCTCTCTGACTATCCCTAATCCTAGAGAGTCTTCAAACGTGGTAGTGACAGAAAGAATAATCCAACCCACTTCTGGCAGGTTGGGCATGCACCCCGAGTTATCAAATGCCCACAACGTGATTGTGACAGAGAGGGTCGTTTCTGGCACTGGCGTAACTGGAATTAGTGGCACAGCTGGAATAAGTGGAGGTACAGGCCTGGGTGGCACCAGCAGGGGTACTAGTGGTGGGGGCATAAGTGGAGCTGGAGTGAGTGGTGGAGGCATCGGGCTGAGCACCCTGAGTGGAGGCGGGGGCCTGAGTAGCAGCATGGGGGGCACAGCCACCATTGGCCACGTGAGTTCCTCCGACCACCACTTTAACCAGACCCTTGGATCTGCCTCCCCTAGGACAGCCCGGAGTCGAATCACCAAGTACAGTACAGTACAGTATACCAAGTAGTCAGGATCCCAGCACACTTTTCCACAGTTATTGTGACAGATTCAATCCCCACCACCCAAATCTAGCCATGTGATTTATGACACAGAACCAGGTGCTAAAACAATCTTGGAGCAAGGAGAGAAACCACAATGAGAAAAACAAGTGGAAACATTGCTGCTGGGAGAAAAGCACTCCTTAACATTTATAAACTTTTTTTCTTACATTAGTGGTAATGAAATCATGACAGTGAACTTGAACTTGAGGTTGCTCTTCTTTGGGCCTGTACGGCTTAGAGTATAGCTGTTCCCAGCATGTGGAACAAATAAGCTTGGTCATTTGAAAGCACTGGCCTTAAGATGGCAATTGGCATAACCCTCTTGTTGTGTTTTGATTTGCACTTAGCTCATCCAAAGGAACTAAACATGCAAATGTGCTCATAAAGGTGGGGGATATCTGAACTCCGTGCCAAACGCCCGTCAGTTTCACAGATCGCACCAATGAAAGTCCAACCGCAGATACAGACCAGGGTTAGCCATTAAAAAAGAATTCTGAGTACATAGTCAAGAACACAAGCCACCATGCATTCCTACCTAAAAATTGCACTAGATGGATTTAATTTTAAATTAGGAGCTATTTCCTAGGAGGGACATTCCATTAGAGAGTAGCAACAGGGGAAGATTTGTTCAGGGCAAACCGGCAACACCTGAGTCTGAATCTTAACGTGGGCTTCAATGAAATCCGCAGAGACAAGGACTTTTCTAATTCTAGTTTGTGTGTATAGTGGTAGATTTAATATTGCTTACTGCTGAGGTTGTGGGATTTCACACTCATTTTTCCTTTAACTGTTGTGGTTCTGACTTAATAAAGGAAACTTTGTCAAGTTGACTTCTCCGATGGAAACAAGTGACACTGGCACGATTGTCATCACTAGTGGTGAATCACCTTCTGAGTAAGCACGTGCACACTGCATTGTGTTTTCAGACTGTGTTTTAGTGTATGTTATTCGTTCATATCCAGCTCTTTATTACATTGTCCTAAGTAAAGTGATTTACTTATGCCGAGCTGTTAAAAATAACTTGTTAAAAAAAAATAAAAAAATAAAGGAGAAAAGTGCAGTATGGTTAAGCTTTGGGGACTTTTTTTTAAAGGGGAACTTAAAAATGTTTGAAGGACATGTAAAATGTGTAATGGGGAAAGTTAGAAAGAAATTGTTTGGTAAAGTAATACAATACTAATGATTGGCATTAATTGAATTAAACATTTTCTTTTAACAACCTTCTGAAGGTTTCAACAAGCAACTTTGAACAGAGTTGATGATATTGTGTTGACAAAAATAAAATATTAGACAAACTCATTTTCTTAGTACCTTTCTCTCTAAATTTTCTCACTAACATGAATTTTTAATTCGAATTTGATATGTGAGTAAGCTCTTGGCGTAGGTAGGCTGTGGTTTTTGGATAGCTTCCAAATCATATAGTACAATATATTTTTCTTACTTCAAAATCTAGTAATGTCCTATTTATGAGGTATCATTTTCTGTATGTTTGCTATGCAGTGTTATCTAATTAAAAATCTCCAAAAAGAAACAGTCATTCTAAGAGATAAGTAGATTTACTATTTCATTTTAGGTAAATATTTTTCTCTTATTTAAATTCACTGGGGAAACAAAATTAGAAAATTATTTGCCCTGAAGTTATGAAATGTAAATAGCTTTTAAAGAGTCCTCCTCCCCCAATTACTCAAATTTCCAAGTCTTATGAGATCAAAAAATACTACTCAACTTCCAACACTTGTCAAAGGGGGTTGGGAGTGAATTATTTCACCTGGAGATATCTTGCTCTGTGTAATAGTGAATTAGGTTAATATTTTCAAAACCGCAATATTCATCTTATTTTAATTCTGTAGAGTATGTAAAATTCTGAGAGTCTGTAGCATGCCAAAATACAGGTGTGTAAATAAAGTCATTTGAAGGGAGTTTTTCTTTTATTTTTTTTCTGTCTTTTAGGGGGCTACATTAAGAATGGGTAACTTTTCCAGAAACAAATTTCAAAAGGATTTATTAAAATTTATTTTAGTATTCCTGGGTCCAGGAATTTTAAGCAATAGGAATATTGATCAATTAGCTAATTAATTAAATAGAGTGGTAGCTGACCACAGGATGCTTACTTATTTTGATGTGACTAGCATCCTACATCTTTTCTTATATGCCACATACCTTCCAGAATATGTTTTAGGTTGTCCAGCAAGCAACAGAGTGACAATATTTAGTAACTGTTGTTGTTAAGATCTGTTAGTTACATAAAGCCATGGAAGAACAAAAGAGAAATGCAGTATTGGTCATCTATCTCTTTAGGAAGATACTTTCAAATCAAAAATTTGTTTTCAGGATTCCACATTGGTGTTTTGTTTAGTCCTAAATTCTAGAATTACCTTTTTAAGACATCAACTATTCTAACCATCCTTTAAAGGTTTGCTATTTTTCAATGAACAGGCTCTGCGCAGAATTTTATTCTTCTCTTAGAATGCTTTAACTCTTATTCACCATTTTATAGACCTAAAAAAGATAGAAATAATTTTCTAAGTAAATAGCTATAATTCGGATCCATATCGTAATCTGTGTCTCAGATCAACCTGCTCTTAACAAAGGAGAGAAGGAAGAAATAATAATTTAATATTATGTATGTGTGGTTTGAAAATCAGTCATAATGTTTATAGAATATATGGCTTTCTAAAGAGATAGTCCTTAGGAAAAAAAAAAAAAACAGTGCGGCATAAGTATCTTATTTACCATTTGATATCAACCAAACTACCATCTTGAGCTAATTTTGACATTGAATTCCAGATATATCTTTTACATGTTATTTACCTCTATGCACATTGCCTGACGAAACTGTATTTGCACTGAAAAATTTACAGAAAAATTATCTACTTGGGGTCAGTTTTATACTCTAATCTGGATATCTGTTTTATGTATGTATATAGTTTTAAACATTATAATTTTCACTCAATGTAGTAATCTTACAAAATTTTAATTTTGTATCTTTAAAAATAGCATTTTACTCTATGAAGTGAATGTTCTTAGTTACCTACACAATTTACAATTTATTTATAAATTTGTACTGAGATTTTATGTCAGCCAAAGTATGAAACATATAGAACAAAACTTTAGAGATGTTATAATTATTGACAACAACAACAAAAAAATGGTCATGGCTATTTTAGAGAGATGTTTAAAACCCCAAGCAAGCTTTTAACTGTATTTGACACATTTTTGTATGCCTATTTAATAAATTTCAACCTTTTCTGGGATTTCTGGAATTTTTAAGACCTCCTCCACCTTGCACTAGAATACACAAGTCCATGGTAGAATGTTAGTGCCTATAAAACCAAACTACTTTCTAGTTCCAAATTATTCCATTTATGTCAGGACAAAGCTCAAACAGATCAACCTATTAGCCACTGAATAATTTTAAGGCAATGAATAATCTATTGTTTAATTGTCCCCATTTCCCTTATTTAATTATATTTGAATTACTTTATCATCAAACTATACTTAGTCTAACTTATTTTTCCTTTGCTGTCTTTTTTTTTTTTTTTAGGTGTTTGGCCTACAATGCATGTGCTCACCAGAGAGAGACAGAGACAGTGAGAGGAAAAGTGAGAAATTACCCCCCCCCAGGGGGGGGTAGATGGCCATGCCACAATTCCTTCTCCTCCACCTCCTCCCGGGATCCTGGGCACACACGTACAGGCACCCAGCGTGAGTTTAAAGCCACCAAGTCTGGGGCTCGAACTTCAGTTGGGCATGTCGGAATCTAGTAACATAACCACCATGCCATATGCTGGTCCCTTCTTTACTGTTATTTTATGAGCATTTTAAAACTCTAATATTCATCTTTGGTGATGTTCAAAATAAGATGCTTTCTTTCAAGTTTCAATGAAAAACTTTTGGATTAATAGGGTACTGTTCCTCACTTGATCATTTGTTGGCTATTTTAAGTTGGTTTGCAATTTCCAAAGAGTCATGTTCACAGCAATAAAATGATTGATATGCTTCCATTATTTTTTCTGAGTTGTAAGGAAAGATGGTAAAGAATAATTAGAATTTATCAAATCTCACTATTTTCATCCTATATCGAGGGTGGGATAATTATCTTATTTTCACAATGTGAGAACACCTTTTTTTTTTTCATTTTCCATTTCTTCTTTTTCTTTTTCTCATGTTTGATGAGGAGCCTATTCTCCATATTATTGCTGAGTGACCACAGAGCACAGCATTAACCAGGTGGTTAGCCTCATACAAAGGAGCAGATGCCAAAACCCTGCATTTGACACTTCCATTCGATATTTAGCATCTTTATGCTTTTACCTGTCTCTATATGCTAACGTTTTATTTTTATCTACACTAGCATTTTATTTTTTTAATTGATTTGGTTCTTATTTGCTCTTAAAATTGGATCCTCTTATCTTTCTTGGGATGCAAATCTCTTTTGTTTTCCAGTGTCACTTTCAGACTATTATCACCTCCAGCTTGTACAAAACCTTACCCCATTCAGACTCATGGAATTAATCCCTTCCCTCTTCCACATTTAATGTTTCCACTTTTAATAAGATTCATATATGACCCACACTCTTCTGCAACATCTCCAGCTCCTTAGGAGATTCACAGTAATCTACACATCCCCATGAATAAGCCAGCTGACAGCCCAGATTCTGTCTCTAGACTGCTAGTTTCCCCACTCCCTCAGCTGCCATTTCCCTTTCATAGCCAGCATGAGAGTGCCTTGGAGGCCCTAGTTTTAGTCTCACCACCTCTGACCACTGCCCCTTATCCTTCCAACCTCGTCACTCCTGGGTTTCAATGGCTGTGATTCCTCCACTTGACCAAAGCTTCGAGTTCATTGACTCCCACCACTTTCTCATTCTCTGTCAGTCTCACTCCCTTCCTAATCTCATCTACCTTCAAGAGTCCAACCATAGTCACTTCTTCGTGAATGTCTTTCAACTCCTCACCTTGCTCTCTCTCACACACATCCCCCAAAACTTTCATCCTCCATCTCCATCTGCACACAGATAAATTATTCAAGTGAGGTTTTTTTTTTCATTTTAAATACTCAATCTTAAATCTCAGACGAACATTAAATACCTCCCTGAAATCCTACCTGCTTCTCTAATTATTCCCATCCCAATTACCAGATTGCTACTGCATACCTTCTCTGTTCTCAAATCTCCCGCACCTCCACTTCCCTTCTCCTTTTAGTTCACGACCTAATTCTGTTGTTTATTGGACAGAAAGGTCATTCATCTGAAATCCATTCGTCCTCCTCTGTCAGACCTCTATATTCATCTGCATCTGCATTCCATCCTCTCCTCCCCACCAGCTTATTCCATGGAGTTAGTGTCCTACTCATATAAAATGACAATTTCCCATTTGTACTCAAGGACTTTGCTCCTTCCCTAAAAGTCTCTTTCTCATTTTTTCCTATACATTCTTCTCTCTCTCTCTCTCTCTCTCTCTCTCTCTCTCTCTCTCCTCTCCCTTCCCCTCCCCATCTCTTGCTCTTTCTCTCCTGGAACATTTCCATCAATACCCATTCTTAGAGCTACTGCCTCATTTGTTTCTTTCACCAAACTTTTAAGATTCACATCTATGTGCTTTCTTTCCTTTTCGTGTTCCATCAGACTTCAAAGCCTTCCCATCAAGCAGGTTTAAGGTCTAATCATTGCCAAATAGAAGGTCCAGAGTTTTGTACTCTTTTCTTAAACTCTGGGATGAATCTAAAAAAACGTAACCATTCTTTATTCCTTGAAACATTCTTCTTTCTTGCCTTTTATAGCACCACAGTCTCCTGATACCTCATGTATTTCATTGGCCACATTCTTGTATTTTATCTTTTGCTTATTCTTCATCTCCCCAATCTTAAAATACTGATGTTTCCCTCCAAGTGGAGCCCCAAGCCTTCTCCTCTTAACACCCTATACTCTCGGTGGGACCTTATCTGGACCCCTTTTTAAACATTCAAGTTAAACTTATAATGTTATCCCCCAGAATTCCCCCAACCTAATGAATATTACACATCTGCTGATTACACAAGACAGAAATTAAAGGTTCTTCCTTGATGTCAACCCTTCT